CCCCCCCCCCCCCCCCCCCCCCCCCCCCCCCCCCCCCCCCCCCCCCCCCCCCCCCCCCCCCCCCCCCCCCCCCCCCCCCCCCCCCCCCCCCCCCCTCTAGGTGCTCCGCTTGGCGTGGATGAGCAAGTCCCGCTGCAGGCCGGCCTCGAGCCCGGCGGCGGAGCGGCCCGCGGGGAGGTCGGTGACCAGCGTGAGCTTGTTGAAGACGCCGCGCCCGAAGTGGTCCGCCACCACCGAGAAGCCGTCGTTGGAGCACTTGAGCTGCGAGAGCAAGAGAGGGAAGGCCCTGAGCAGGGGGGAGGAGAAGGGGGGGGAGCCCTGGGGGGGGCTCTCTTCCCACCCCACCCCCACCCCGGGGGGTGGGGCAGGGCCCCACCTGGAGCTGGAACTGGTCGTGCAAGTCCCGCTTCTGCTCCTGGGCCCGGATCATGTCCATCACCTTGCGGTTCTCCGGCAGGCAGGTCGGGCACTCCGAGCCGCTCTCCGAGTAGCTCTCAAAGCAGTGCTGGTGGAAGGAGTGGCTGCAGAGGAAGTGCACCGAGGGCAGCTCCAGCGCACTCGTGCAGATGCTGCACTTGGTCTTCTGGAAGATCTTGGGGCTGAGGGAGGGAGGGAGGCACACCGGGTGAGCCGGGGGAACAGGCCGCACGCAGCCGGTGGGCACCCACAGCAGCCCTTGCCACAGCAGCCAGGGAGGTCCTGATGGGCGTGTGCCTCAGAGCTCTTAAGGAAGGCAAATGGTGCAGCCTCATTTGGAATACTGTGTGCAGTTCTGGGCGTCCTATCCCCAGAAGGACATTGCAGAGCTGGGAAAAGTTTAGAGGAGGGCAATCGAGGTGACTATGGGATTGCAGCACCTTCCCTAGGAGGAAAGGCTGAAGAGTCTCTGGGACTTTTCAGTTAAGAAAAGAGACAACTAAGGGAGGGTATGATAGAAGTTTATAAAATTATACATGGGGTAAAGAGTTGACAAAGAACTTTTCCCCCCTCTCCCAAAATACTAGAACTTGAGGGCATCCAATGCAACTGATGGGCAGTAGGTTCAGGACAGACAAAAGGAAGCACTACTTTACACAGAGTGAAAAAGTGCTGCCCAGAGGATGTAGTGATAGCCACAGGAATAAACAGCTTTAAAAGGGGATTAGTTAGATTCATGGAGGACAGGTCGGTTAGTGGCTACTAGCTATTGTGACTGGGGGGAACCTCTGAATCCCAGCACCAGGAGGCAACATCAGGAGAAGGCTTTGGCCTCTATGCTCTGTTGTTGGCCCTTTAGAGGAACTAGTCGGCCACTGCATGAGACAGGATGGTGGACTAGATGGACCCTCACTGGTCTGATCCAGCAGGGCTCTTCTTATGTTCTTATGAAGACCTCGGCCTCTGTGCCCCATAGCTGGAGCTCCAGAGGAACTAGTTGGCCAATATGTGAGACAAGACTGAATGGACTATTGGTCTAATCCAGCTGGGCTCTTCTTATGTTCTTATGCCTTTTCCGAACAAACATCTGAGCCCCATCCAAGAAACTGGATTGCGAGCATCACTACACCAAGTAAGGCTGGATGTAGGGAAGCATTGGGCAGGAATGTCTCCCTCTGACCAAAGTTACGTACCGCAAAGGCTGAGCAGGAACAATGTTAAAAATTAATCAAAATAAATCAATTTATTGTACAGGTTCACTTCAAATACAGGTTAAAACCACTGAGGACTACTTGGTCTAGTAGTTTCTATCTAGGAGCTATATTCAAGGCCTAAGTTTTTAATTTGTATTTTAAGCGCACTGTACAAGAAATTAATTTTATTTAATTCATTTTTAATATTGGTCCTGCTCAACCTGCATGGTACCTACTTCAATCTTTGGGTTGGATTCGTGTTCCCGTTTTTTGTTGCATTCCCTCTGACCTGAGGCCAAGGCCCCAAGCCAGAGCGAACCCGGCGGGGCTGCGGCTACCTGTTTTTCAGCTCCTCGATCTCCTTGCGTATCCGCTTGGTCTCCTCCCGGTACTTCTGGATCTTCTGTTCATCCTGCTCAATCTGGCGGCTCTGCTTCTGCAGCTTGCTGACCAGGTAGTCCTTGATGACTGACAGGGTGGCTGTAGAGTTGTGGGCCAGGGTCTGCACAACTGAGAGAGACGACGGGGGGGGGGAACACAGTCCGAGGCGCCTGCTTGAGGCTTGCAGGCAGACCGCGGAGCCTCCCTGCTGCCCGTGGGAGCCCAAGCCTCACAGACCTACACAACTGCAAGCCAGTGAAAGGCAGGCCCACACCCCTGGGCCTGACCTGGGTCTCCTGTGACTTCCCCCCAGGCTGCTCTCATGTGTCACGGGCAGCCGGGCCTGGCTTTCAGGGCCGTGGCACAGAACTTTCTGGAAGGGCACCTCCTGGTCTATCTGCTGTGGGGCACCAGAATCCAACCCCTCAAGAGGGGGTTCGGCTGTAGGGGACCAGTCCTTTCAAGGTCGATCCCGACCCAGAAGCGTCTGGGCTGATCCTCAGTGGCCAGCGTGCCACCAACATGTTGCGGGGGATTTCCGTCTGGTCAGCACAGCGACCCACCCCGAGCCATCAGAACAGGGCAGTCCTAGACAGCCCCTCCCCCCCCCCGGCTAGGCAGGAGGCCTCTCTGGGCTGCTGATCCCAGCAGGGCTGGGCAGGCAGCTCCTTCCCGGGAAGGGAGAGACCAGAGGGCCAAGCCTTGCCTCGAATTGCAGCTGCCATTCTGCCTGCAGCCCGTTTATCATTTCCCGCTCCGCCCCTGCAGAAGCTCCCCTCGGGGCCAAGGAGCCCCCGCGTGCCCCCTCCCAGAATCAGGGGGCCTGCCCCCGAAGCCCATTCCTCTCACCAAGCAGGGGGGGCATGAGGTTCTTGGTCTCGATGTGCTTGAGCACGGCCGTGATGTAT